CAATCTACACACTAAAACATCCTGTGGGGACTGTCGCACAACTGTGTGAATATACTAAAACAATTAAATTGTACACTATAAATGAGTGAAGTTTACATTTGTAAATTCTATCTTAATAAAGACTTTTTAAAAGTAGACAACCCAAACCTAACATATTCAAAAGTAAATTTCTGATCTTCCTCCCCAAATCTTACAGCCTTCCTCATATCAATAAAAGCCAACTCTTTCTAGTGACTCACGCAAAAACCAGAGTGATTCTTGATTACTCTCCTCTCTCATCCCATGTTTCAATCCATCTAGAAATCTGGTTGGATCTACCTTCAAAACAGATCCATAATTAAATTACTTCTTAACACTTCCTCTGGCCACAACCTGATCCAAACCTCCAACATCTTAGCCCAGGATTACTACAATAGCCAATTAACTGGTATCCCTGTCAGTGCAGCAACCACAATGACTTTTTTTTTTTTTTAAAGGAAGATCAGCCCTGAGCTAACAACCGTGCCCATCCGCCTCTACTTTATATGTGGGATGCCTCTCACAGCATGGCTTGATAAGCAGTGCGTAGGTCCACACCCGGGATCCAAACCGACAAACTCCAGGCTGCCAAAGCGGAAAATGCGAACTTAATTGCTGTGCCACCAGGCCAGCCGCTCAGAATGACCTTTTAAAAACATAAATCAGTTCACATCACTCCTCTGCTCAAATGGCTCCCCATTTCATTCAGGATATTACAATGCCTATAAAACTCTTTGTGATCTGCCCTCCCAACCTTAACCCAGCATGATCTCTGAGTTCATCTGCTAATCCTCATTTTTAACTCCTACTTTCCAACCACAAAAGTTTTCTTGCTGTCCTTAAGGTCACCAGGCACACTCTACCCTCAAGACCTTTGTATTTCTCCCCTCACACTCCCGTATCTATAGTGCCTAATACCTCACATCCCTGCTCAAACGTCATTTTTTCAGTGAGGCCTTCCCTTACCATCTAATTTAAAACTGCAAGCTCCCATAACACTCTGTATCCTCCTGCCCTGCTTTATATTTCTGTGTAGCACTTCTTATATTTTTACCTTCGAATATATTTAATATTTTACTTATTTTGTCATTTGTCTCCCCTTACTAGAGTATAAGCTCTGTGAGGGCAAATGTTTTTTCTCCATTTTATTCACCTGCTGTAACCCCAGTGCCTGGCACAGTAGGTTTTCAATAAATATTTGTTAAAAGAACTGAATGTAAACTAGGGACTAATAAGCAAAATTCATTTTGGAACTCGAAGTTAGAATCTGTATCTAGTTCACCTGTATTACTCATTTGTATACATATGATATATAATCAAAAAGCTTTATGCGGGGCCAGCCCAGTGGTGCAGCGGTTAAGTGTGCACATTCCGCTTCAGCGGCCCGGGGTTCACCAGTTCGGATCCCAGCTGTGGACATGGTACCGCTTGGCAAGCCACACTGTGGCAGGCATCCCACATATAAAGTAGAGGAAGATGGGCACAGATGTTAGGTCAGGGCCAGTCTTCCTCAGCAAAAAGAGGAGGACTGGCAGCAGATGTTAGCTCAGGGCTAATCTTCCTCCAAAAAAAAAAAAAAATTAGGAGGGACAAATGAAGTAAACAAATGATAATCTGGTCAAATTGTACATCAGGTCCATGTAAGAGCCTTATCTTGAACGTGCCAACAACCACACCTACCATCTCTTTTCCCTAAATTATAAAGGTTCCCTTCTGATAAGCAGAAATTAAAACAATTCAGTTCTTGATGAACTATTTCACAGAATTATGTTAGCAAATATCTACTCATTGCTTACTACTGTGTGCCAAACATCGTTCTAGTTGCTTGGGGATACAGCAGCAAAGAAGACATAGCCCTGTCATCTGGTGGGAGAAGACAGACAATAAACATACAAACAAATAAATACAGTAATTTCACATACTGAAAATAAAGTGATGTGATAGAAAGCAACTGAAGGGACCACTTGAAATAAGGTCATTAGGGAAGGACTTTCTGAGGAGGTAATATGTGAGCTTGGATCTAAATGATGAGAAGACAAGATTGGAAGAAGCCTGAGGCACAGCAGACAGGGCGATTGGTGTAGGAACTTGTAGACCATAGTAAAGAAGCTTAGACCTTAAGCTTTTTCCAATGGGATACCACGACTTCAAAGCACAGGAATGACAGCTGTTTATGTTATGGAAAGATAACTTTAAAAAATGATGGCAATGAATGCTTCAGTCAAACAAATTCAAAGTCTGAATAAAATCAGTAGAACCCACCCATGGAGTATATCTTCAGGAAGCCTACTTGCCTTCTCTAAATTAGTTCCTTCAAAGTGAACAAAAGTCTCTAATATCTCTGGAAGAGCTTAACAGAGTTACTTAAATTCACACTGAGGTCTAAATATAAATTACTAAATCACGGATGCAAGAAGGAAAAAGAGAAGCCAAAGGGGCATCAAGAAAATGGACAGAGGGCCTGGCCCAGGGGCCGAGGGGTTAAGTTCGCGCGCTCCGCTTCAGAGGCCCAGGGTTTCACCCGTTCGAATCCTGGGCGTGGACATGGCACCGCTCATAAGGCCACGTTGAGGCAGCGTCCCACACGCCACAACTAGAATAACCCACAACTAGGATATACAGCTATGTACTTTGGGGGATTGGGGGAGAAAAAGCAGAAAAGAAAAAAAAAAAAGAAAGAAAATGGACATAAAAAAGACTGGGAATGCCAAAGACATCTACTTCACTAAAGCTGACTTAGAAACCAAACTCAAACTAAAGTAATATTAACTGTAAAGAAATACAAAATTAAATGAAAATGAGGCCCAAGCATAAACTGTTTTCATTGTGCCCTTCGCCACTCTCCTGAATATTTCTTTCAAAAGACTTTATTTATAGTAAGATAGACAATATTCATTAAAGGTAAATACAAAATCACTACAAACTACCCTTAACCATTCTAGAAAGTTAAGTTCCATTCAACTAGGAAAAAAATTTTTCAGGTTTTTAGAAAGCCAAAAGCATTTAACTATATAAGCTATAGATAGTGCACTTCAAATGAAGTATTGTCTTCCTAGAGCAATCATGTTTTTGCTCTTAAGATATCAACAAGGGAAATAAGCTCAGGCACAATATCAACAACAACAGAGGCAGAAAAATTCTGGCTCCAACACATCTCATTATTGCTGACTGAAAAAAACAAAATATTGTAATTGTCATTTGTAATGCCACAAGGCAGGGATGGGGACTAACTTATTCATGCAAATGATCTAACCATACAGTTAAAGCACCAGAGCCCAAAGGTAGGAAATGTTAAATGCTCACATAATTTAGTAAAAATGTTTTAAAACAAAAGGAGAATATGCCCTCAGGCTCACATGAGCACTGCTTGCTACCACTGGTGTACCAAGTACATGAAAGAATAATCTTGAAAACATTATTTTACAAAGTTAAATGTGGCCCTTGTTATCTGATATGGTGGAGTCAAATCCTAACTCCACCACTTTACTGTGTAACCTTAAGCAACTTAACATTTCTGAGCCTTAGTTTGCCCATCTGTAAATCAATGATTTAAAACATCCACTACTAGGGGTTATTTTAAGGTATAATGCAATAGACGTATTGCAAATGACAACAGAGGGCTGGACATACAGCAGATACTTAATATGTGAGACTTTGATGATGACTGTTACCACATTTCATATTGTATGTTCTAATTTTACCTCTTGGAAAGAAAGTAACTTCAATCTGCTGTTAGTAAATACAAGTAATCCCGTTTTGGTTCTACAACCCTTTCAGCAAGTATTATTCAAAGAGCCACAAAACACCTGTCCCAACAGTAACTTGGTACACAAATGGTTTGAAGCTTGGAGTCCATGATTTGGCAGGTTTTACCCATCTGTTTCCTAAAAGGTAAACACAAATCAAAACACTACAGGGGCAATGGCAGAAGTGGAATAAGAATAATAAGTGGGTAATGGGTCTCACTGGCGACATGCCATAGACAGGAAGCAACAAAAGACCTAAAATTCAAATAGATATATATGGATTTAGGGCTAACCTCTTCTCAGCGGGAAGCAACAGTGACTTCTCCACACTTCCTCCTAAAAGATTTGAAATCTTTTGCCAACAATTCATGCTTCCTGACAGTTTAATAGACCTCTTTTTTGCAGTATAGCAGCGAAGTGGAAAAAACTCCCCATGAAAACAAAAAAGCAATAACTAGGCAAAAAAGCACTATACGTATACTCAAAAAGCACATTTCTTGATTTCCTGTTTTGATCACCTATGAAACCAAACTCAATTATTTAAAAAGGTACTTCAAGCGATTAAAAAGTAACCGGATTTGTTTTACAATTTAAGATATTAGTGATGATACAGACTACAGTTGTTTCCGGTCAGTATCAAGAAGGCTGGATTTTATTGCAGCTAACACAGGTACAGGGAAACCCCCCAGGTGGTCGCCTCAGCTCTGTATGGAGCTCATGTTACTTCTTAACATTCATCCAGGTAAGGCCCTTATTACACATCACAAGTTTCAGGTCAGTGAAAAATAAAGCAGTCCAACATATTCCAGCGAAAGAGGTGGACTACTACTGCTTAAACCATAACCTGGCTATCATCAGGAAAACCAGGGATCTTTAACACGTCAAGGCCTATAAGAAATAAACGGACGCGACAATTAACGTGAAGGTTCAGTAAAGTCAACAGCACCTTACAAGGTTGTGAAATGAAATAATACGTAAACCTCCATCGATCTGGGCCCAATGGCCCAAGGTCACACCAAGTCAGCGGCTAAAGAATTCAAGAAATAATGAACCTCCTGCAGTTCAGGGCAACCCTGGCTACAAATGGAGTCTGGGTTTGGGAACACTCGAGCCAAAGCTTTAATGGGAACAACCCCAACCGAATGCAGTGGCTCCGTGGGAAAACAGCCAACGTTTCGGGCAATATTTCCTTCCATTTCCCCAGTCTTCCCTTCCCTAGTCACCCCCAACACTCACATCTCCGGAGCCACTTCATCCAATGGTAGACGATGGTAGTGTGGTGTTTCTTGTTCTCTATACACCAAGACGACAAGCCTTGAATAGATTCCATGGTGTTAGTTACCGACTGGAATTTTCGATCCAACGAGGACTCCAGAGCCCCTGCCGAAGACGCCGACGAGGAGGAGGCCTTAGTGCTGCCTCCGCCGCCGCCAGCCGCCATCTTCCCGGTTTGCACAAGCGCTGCTGCTCCTCTGGCGGCCGCGGCGGCGGCGGCGGGAGCGGGCAAAACAATCACTGCGAGTGCGTGAAAGCCGTAGGTGGGGAGGGAGGCCAGGGGGTGGGGTGGTGCACGCGCTCGGCTCTTCTGGAGGGAGGACTGGACGGCCAGCAGCTGGGCACGCCGGCGGCTCCTACACGCTGCAAGGAGGGGCTGCGCGTTTCGAACGTTTATCAGAATTGTTCTAAGGGGTCGTGTTTAAACCAGTCAGTAATCACAGCAGAAAGACGCAAAAAACAGGTCCTGCAAAGCCTCTCAAAATGCCTGGCCGCGAAACTAATGGTTTTATATTCTTCGGCTCTCAACGCTAAGGCCCTTCCCCACTCCTATTCCCACTTACTCCTGTAAGGGCGGGCGTTAATATCTTAAATGTAATACTACCCGACTGCCCCTTCAGTTGCAGAAATCTTTCTCTCGCCTTTAGATCCTCTAGTACAGAGAAGGCCCAAAGCTACCTAGTCAGGATTTTTTTTGCAACGCAACAGCAGCAAAGGGACGGCAACAGCATCGCGCACGCGCTGCGTGGCCCCGCCCCCCCCTTGCTTCCTTCTCAACCTAGAAAGCAGAGAGAGGCGTGATGGCGGGGCGATCCGGCCAATCAGGGGAGAAGAATGAGAAGCGCGCGCAGGAGCCCGCAAGCCCGAAGGGCCAAGGAGGCGCTTTGATTATTTGTGCGCCTGCGCAGTAGACCAGAGTGTAGCGGGTAAGGAAGAAAAACGGGGAGGGAAGGGTGAGGGAGTTGGTCAAACTAAGGAGAGGTTGGGGGAGGGGCTTCACCGCTCCGCCCCGCCTTTTGCTTCCTAGCGAGGGCTTTCTCTTGAGGCTGTGCAGCTCACACAACAGGGCCAGGAAACTCCCACCGCTCAACGGACACTGTTACTCTCTGGCGGCTGCAGCCGCTGCCTCCGCCGCCGCTGCTAAGTCCTCGAGAGCCCGACGCGCGACAAAGTGGCTGGCAGCCATCTTGCAGTGTCTTACAGGATGCGCATGCGCCAGCTCCTGCTAGCCATTCACTACGCAGACTCCCAGACCGAACAATATTTTACACTCCCCTTGGACGATACCACTCACAGCCGCTTGACTATTTGGATTATAGGAAGAGGAAGTAAATGAAGTGAAACGAAAATTTTCCCTGTAAAATTTTCGAGACGAGGAAACAATAAAAGGCAAGTTGTGATGTCATCTTCACCAGTGGTGATTTAATCTGACAATTGCATAATATAGTTTACAAGAGCTTTCGCTATTACATTGATTAGCACAACCTAGATTAACCATTCCATCGTATCTGCCTATGCAAATCCTCTGGGCAGATTTGGAGGCTCCTGTGTTCCACTGAACACATCCAATTACGTATTGTATTTTAATTCTCTTACGTCTCCCCAGTAGACTCACGTTTCTTGATGCAGGGAACCTGTTTTATCAAGCTCATATCTAGTATTCATTAATTCAACAAAAAAGTTGCTGAACGTCTTGTGCCAAATACTGTTCTAGATGTTGGGAAATAGCGACCAAAACGGACAAAAATTCCTTCTTTCTGGGGCGTAGTGGCAGGAGACCATAAACAAATATATGTAAGAGAGTTAGAGGTTCTATGGAGAAGTATGAAGCAGGGTAAAGGAGAGAGTGGGTATGGTGTGTGATCCTGTATGGGAATGCGAATGGTGGTTTGGTGATCCAGGAAGGCTTCTGGAAGGAAGTGACACTTGATCTGAATGTTGAGAACCACGTAACCAAGTGGATATCGGGGAGGGGGGGAAGAACATGCCGGCAGAAGGAACAGCAACTGCAAAAACCCTAAAACAGGAATGTCTTGACATATTAGAGTAAGAACAAGGAAGCCAGTGTGGCACTAAGAGAGGGACAAGTGGTAGAATATGAGGTCTGAGAGGTGAAGGGAGAGTCTGAGTAGGGCCTTGCAAGCCCCTGTAAGGACTCTGGCTTTTAACCCTGAGATGGGGAGCCCTTTTAAGCAGAGAGGTTACGTGGTGATCTTTTTAAAAGATCACATTGGTTGCTATGTTAAAAATAGACTTCAGAGCCACCAGTTAAGGAGGCTTTTGGAATAACCCAGATGAGGAAATGATGGTGGCTTTTTCAAAGTGGTAGCAAAAAAGATAATGAGAAATGGTGTCAGATCCTGGATATATTTTGAAAGTAGAGCTAAAAGGTTTGCTCATGGCTTTAAGGAAAGTATGAGAAAAATGAGTAAAGTATGACACCAAGGTTTTTGTTGTTGTTGTTGTTGTTTGAGGAAGATTAGCCCTGAGCTAACTACTGCCAGTCCTCCTCTTTTTTGCTGAGGAAGCCTGGCCCTGAGCTAACATCCAAACCCATCTTCCTCTACTTTTATATGTGGGATGCCTACCACAGCATGGTGTGCCAAGCGGTGCCATGTCCACACCCAGGATTTGAACTGGCGAACCCTGGGCCGCTGAGAAGCAGAACACGCAAACTTAACCGCTGCACCACCAGGCTGGCCCCAAGACACCAAGGTTTTTGACCTGAGCAATTAGAACAGTGTTTCCCTGCCTTTTTTTCATTATCATTGCCCCTAAAGATACTTTTTAGATTTTTTTTCCTAATCCCCCCAACCCTCATGAAATTTTATTTTATTTTATTTTTTGGTGAGCTACCATCTGTTGCCAATCTTCCTCTTTTTTTTTGTTTTTGCTTTAAGAAGATTATCCCTGAGCTAACATCTGTGCCCATCTTCTTCTATTTTGTATGTGGGATGCTGCCGTAGCATGGCTTGATGAGCAGTGTGTAGGTCCACGTCTGGGATCCGAACACAACAACCCACTGCCGCAGGAACAGAGTGTGCAAACTTAACCCCTATGCCACTGGTCTGGCCCCATGAAATTTTAATGCCACAGATATACTGTATATCTATTTACATACTCGTATGTATATCTGTGCTTTATACAACAGAAAGCATGAAGTTTACTCTTTTTATTCAATGCAGAATTAAGAATGACTAAAATCTTTAAGTTAAAAATTAAAATTTTTAGGGGCCGGCCTGGTGGCATAGTGATTAAGTTTGCATGCCCTGCTTTTGTGGCCTGGGGTTCACAGGTTCAGATCCTGGGCATGGACTTACACACTGCTCATCAAGCCATGCTGTGGCAGCATCCCACATACAAAACAGAGGAAGATTGCCACAGATGTTCGCTCAGGGCCACTTTTCCTCAAGCAAAAAAGAGGGAGATTAGCAACAGGTGTTTGCTCAGGGCCAATTTTCCTCATAAAAAAAATTAAAAATTTAAAAACTATTAATATTTAACAACTTTATAATTGTATTTGCTGAGTAAACTTTAATGTATTTATTTATATAAATAGTAATTTATCATATTATATATGCAAATTCGCAATTTATATATAAGTACATAATAACAATGTAATCATTGTTTTAAAATGCATCCAAAACTGTTATATTTCCAGCAAAAGTAAAGTAATTGAAAAAATTAAATTTCTTAAAAATTTTTAGTGACCTTTTAACTTTTTTTTTTTTCTCCTGAGGAAGAATAGCCCTGAGCTAACTACTGCCAATCCTCCTCTTTTCGCTGAGGAAGACTGGCCCTGAGCTAACATCCATGCCCATCTTCCTCAGCTTTATATGTGGGACGCCTACCACAGCATGGCTTTTTGCCAAGCAGTGCCATGTCCGCACCCGGGATCTGAACCGGTGAACCCTGGGCTGCTGGGAATCAGAACGTGTGAACTTAACCGCTGCACCACTGGGCCAGCCCCTGAACTTTTAACTTTTATTCGACATAAGAAAATTGCTAGCCACTTGATATTCAGATATTGTTGACATCTTTTCTTCTCAGCATTTGACATAGTTAATGATGAATTCAATAACTTTTCTAGAATAAAATATAAACTATTTTTATTTGCTTCTTAAAGCCCAAGTCATATGCAGAAGCACTGAGAATCAATTACACAAGGCAGTACATGACAGCCAATAGTCATGTGTAGGCCAATTCCTGTGTTAGGACTTTAAAATAGGGCAATCGAGGGAGAGAGTTCTCCAAACACAGCCATCTATTTCTCATAGTTCTGTAGCACTGACCTCGCAAGCATTTTGTGTGTCTCCCAGGAACTCAATGTCATTGCTGCTTGTGTCATACCCTAGAATGAGAGAAATTAAATAATAAGAAATGAAATTTTGTTAGGTACAGTTGAGCTTTGGAGGGTCACAAACTATTGTGATATCTAAGATTTTTCCATCCCCCAAGAGCCAATTTTTTCCCCTGTGGGATGATATTGCCCCCATTGAGAATGCTTGAATTAGAAGAATGGAATTGCCATTTTCTCAGATGGACCAGGAGAGGTAAGGGGGAGTAGTAGTGCAGTGAGAAATGAGTAGGAATCAGGATTTCAGTTATGGACATCTTGAGTTTAAGATATCAGACACATAAATGGCACTGTGTGTGTGTGTGTGTGTGTGTATGACATATATAAGTCTGAAGTTCATGAGAGAGGTCTAGGTAGGAAATATCAATTTAAAAATTGTCAGTATATAGATGATCTTTAAAGCCAAGAGATGAATGAGATTGCCCAGCAAGTGGGTGTAGATAGAAAGTAAGTCCAAGAGAGAATAATGTTCTGAAAGCCAAGTAATGAAAGTTTGTCAAGGAGAGAGTAATCAATTGTGTTAGGTGTTGCTGTGTAGGTTGCATAAGATGAGGACTGAGATGATTATGAGATTTGGCAACACTGTGATCATTGGTGTTCTTGACAAGCGTTGTTTCCAGGAAGTGAAGTGATTGGAGAGGGTTCTAGAGAGAATGGGAGAAGTGGAGATGTCGCATATAGATAACTCTTTCAAGAAATAAAATGGGGGCCAGCCCGGTGGCACAGCGGTTAAGTTCGCATGTTCCGCTTTGGCAGCCCAGGGTTCACCGGTTCAGATCCTGGGTGCAGACATGGCACCGCTTGGCAAGCCATGCTGTGGCAGGTGTCCCACATAGAAAGTAGAGGAAGATGGGCACGGATGTTAGCTCAGGGCCAGTCTTCCTCAGCAAAAAGAGGAGGATTGACAGCAGCAGTTAGCTGAGGGCTAATCTTCCTCGAAAAAATAAATAAATAAAATGGGAGCAGAGAAATGGAGCTGAAGCTGGAGAGAAATGTGGGTTCAAGGGGGTCATTTCTTTTTCCAAGACAGGAAATAATTGTAGCTGATGCAAATGATACATTGTGGGGGAAATACTGATACAGGAATAGAGATGGGACAATTACTAGATTGATTTCCTCCAGAAAGTGGGAGAGGATAGGTTCAAGTGATAGGTCCACAGACAGTTCCTTTCTTGTAACAGGAAGGTAGTGAATCTAGGGATAGATTTAGGTAGGTGGGTAGGTCCGTTGGTGAGAATGTACAGAAATTCTCTTCAATTGCTTCTCTTGTCTCAGTGAAATAGTCATTGTAGTAGGTGCAAAGGAAACACCCTTTTTTTTCTTTCTGCTTTTTCTCCCCAAATCCCCCCAGTAAAATTGAACATTTTAGTTGTGGGTCCTTCTAGTTATGGCACGTGGGACGCCGCCTCAACGTGGCCTGATGAGCGGTGCTATGTCTGCACCCAGGATCCGAACCAGAGAAACCCTGGCCCACTGTAGCAGAGTGCTAGAACTTAACCACTCGGTCAGGGGGCTGGCCCCGGAAACACCCTCTTAAAAAGCACCAATGATCTGTTAATTGCTAATTCCAATGCACTGTTTAGTCTTAACCATCCACTTTTCTGTTAGTGTGATAGTTAAGAGCAAGCCCTCTGGAACCAGACTGCTCAAATTCAGGCTGCCACTTGCCAGTGGCAATTTTAAGTAAATTTCTTAACCTCTCTGTGGTGCTATAATTATTAAATGAGCTAATGCATGTAGAGTGCTTAGAGTAGTGCCTGACTTAGCAAAGGCTTGATGATATCAGCTATAATTACACTTAAACCTTTCTTAAAACTCACTTCCCTTTGCTTCTGTTAAACATACAATCCTTAACCAGATCCTATGAAATTAACGCTCCTTTCTCTGCCCATTGCTAGTTTTCTCACTCCTTGTGTTTGTCAAAGTTCTATTTTTAGTGCTTCTCGTATCTTTCTCTTCATCCTCTCCCAAAGATTAAATTTATCACCTGCATTCAGATTTATTCAAGTTGGATACTCTAGTTACCTTTGATCTCACCCCATCCATCTA